TATTTTGATGTGATTTAAAGGCTGATCTTAGTGTTAACAAAAGATTTAGTTTCTTTGCATGCTGATGTTAATATGGTGACTTAAACTTCTATAGGGGAAATATAATTTAAAAATAAATAGATGGTTAAGGTGATATTTTCCCTAAAAAAATAAATATGGAAAAATTCATGTATCAGAATTGTTAACATTCTTTATTTCTTTTGTTCACCTCTATAGGATCAGTTGGTAAAAGAAGATAACATTGATGCAGTAGGTAAAAAACTGCAAGAGTACCACTCTCAGTATCAGGAAAAGAGTAAAGAGTATGATAGGCTATATGAAGAATATACCAGAACATCCCAGGTTCGTATGTTTTTGTTGTTTGGGTTAGTAAGTATGCAGTGTTACAGTTACATCAGATTTTTATAATTCACTTGATAATTTTTAGTTGTCTTAATATCTTAAACAGCCTTTTTGAGACTTTGATGATATAAATTTCCCTCTCATTTATAAATCTTCTTTTATCGTGATGATTTTCTATCTGTGGAAGTTGGCTTATTCTAAAATCAGCCATCACATCATATTCTAGTAAACAGGAAGGAAAAATAGGAAGGAGAAAAGAAGGCTCTCTGTTTTTAAGGTGATTTCCTAGAAAGAGCACACATTGCTTTCACTTTTATTCCACTGGCTAGAACTTAGTATCATGGTCACACCTAGGTGTAGATCACAATTAGCTGCGGAGGAAGCTTTGAAATCTAGTCTTTATTTGGTCAGGTGTGCCCAGCTAACTTTTGGGGATTTACTGAGGAAGAAGGAGTGGATGAATGGAATTATGGGACCACTAGTAGATTTAGCCATACAATTTTTAGATCATTAACCTTAGTAATCAGTAATAATTATTTTATCATATTTATGATATAGAGCGAAATTCTATAGAATAATCTGGTTCTTTTCCTAGAACTCCTTATTTCTGTTACTACTTTTGATTCTTTTTTAGGTAGACTTGGATTGGTTTAATTTGCCCTAAGTTTTTACTTAGTACATAAAAGATGTTGGAAATTTTGATAAAGGTGAACATCTTCAAGGAAGTTTACCCTTTGTAATATTTGGGTCAGAAGTAGCGTAGGAAAATATATAATATTTAACCACATTTCTCATGCACCATTCTCTTGAAACACAGTTTATTACTCTGAACATCAAATGATTTATAGAACCATTAGTCCATGTTGATTCTACTAAATTCCTAGTGAATTCTTGGGGCAACAATAACTTGTCTGGGTCCTTTCTAGTAGATAATAATAATGGATTTTTTTTAGTGTGTACTTTCTATTTCATGAATTTCTGCTTTTATCTTTATTATTTCCTTTCTCCTTTTTTTTTTTTGAGACAGGGTCTTGCTCTGTCACCCGGCTAGAGAGCAGTGGTGTCATCGTAGCTCACTGCAACGTCAAACTCCTGGGCTCAAGTGATCCTCCTGCCTCAAATTCCCAAGTAGCTAGGACTATAGGCGCATGCCACCATGCCTGGCTTTTTTATTTTTAGTAGAGACGAGGTCTCGCTCTTGCTCAGGCTGGTCTCAAACTCCTGACCTCAAGCCTCAGCCTCCCGCCTCAGCCTCCCAGAGTGCTAGGATTACAGCCATGAGCCACTGTGCCTAGCCATGATTTCTTAATATTATCTCATTTCCCTTGTGATTTCTTCTTGGACTCATGTGTTATTTAATTTCTAAATATTTGGGACTTTTTAAGATATTATTTTTACTAGTTTAATTTTGTTATTAGTGAACATATTCATTAAGGTTACAGACTTTTGAAATTTTGACTTATTTTATGACCAAGCATATGCCTATCTTAGTAAACTTTTCCACGTGCACTGACACAAAGACTGTGTGTTCCGAAGTTGTTGGTATAATGTGCTATAAATATCAATTAGGTTAAGGTGGTTGATAGTGTCATTGAAATCTTTTATAGCCTTTATTGATATTTTTTGCTAATTGTTCTGTCAGTTATTGTGAAGGAATCTTCAAGTCTCCAATTACAATTGTAGATTTGTCTGTCTCTCTCTTTAGTTCTGTCAACTTTTGCATTATGTATATTGAAATTCTGTTATTATTAGATGCCAACACATTCACGGTAAATTTACTCCTTTATCAGTATGAAATATTCTTCTTTATATCCAGTAATCCTTCTGAATGAAGTCTGCTTTGTGTCTGATATATCCCTGCCAGCTTTCATATGCTTATTATTTGCATGGTACATCTTTTTCTGTTCTTTTACGTTCAATCTGTTGTGTCTTTATATTTAAGGAGCATCTCTGATAGACAGTTTATAGTTGGTCTGGCTTTTAAAAAAAATAACAGGCCGGGCGCGGTGGCTCACGCCTGTAATCCTAGCACTCTGGGAGGCTGAGGTGGGTGGATCGCTCAAGGTCAGGAGTTCGAGACCAGCCTGAGCAAGAGCAAGACCCCGTCTCTACCAAAAAAAATAGAAA